GTTGTTTTGCACTTGTGTAGTGTGTGTTGTGTCCTAAATGTGTGCTGAKACCTATAATATGTGGTGCACTGAAAAACATTGCTAATTTTTATTGTACAATACAATGTTTGAACACGGTCATACCCGATACCCATTTATTTTAAGGGGTATGGTCGAATTGCACTTGAGTTAAAAAAGGTAATGGCCGAACTGCACTCGGGTAAAAAACAGATAGTGATCGAACTGCACTTGGGCTCAAAAGTATTTCAATAAAATTATCATGCATTTGAAGGGGTTAAACATTTAGTTAACACTCATTTTCCTATAATTTTTTGTATTATACTTTATATTATATTATATTTTAAGCTCAAATATGAGGCTTTCCACGCGAAGTTCAATAAATCATTTTCATCACCACATCCAAATATATTTGTTTTCATTGATGTTTTAACACAATTACAAATCGACACCTACATTTTAATGCAGAATACTGCACAAGATCATAACCTTGGGGTTGTGAATTAGTTATGCGTTGTATTACMTGAGGACTTAAAAATTAAGGTAATGCCATTAATAGAGACATAATAGAGTCTTTGAACAATAATCTATAAATATAGGTATGTAATTTGAAATAATTTGGAAATAGGATAATATTTTCATAGATGACTTAATATATAGCAAAACTAATGACTAGGGCTAGGATTTATATGCATTTGCATGTTTTTTTCCTTAAGTCCAAATTGATTGGTTGTCAGATTTGTCCACAATTTAGCTTTTTCTYGTTTAAATAGAACCAATTTTTTTTGCATATTTTGATCATAATTCATATAATTGTATATCCATAGATTTTTGAGAATTTGATTTTTTTTTAACTTAAATTTTTAAATTTTTATAAGTTATTGTTAATTTTAAATGGTAGGTAATTCACGAAATCGATAGTTTTTGGTTTATCCGTTGAATTGTCGTAAATATATAGCATAAATACTACCTTATAAATACTTTAAATACTATCTTATTTTAGGTCGGATAATATCCGTTTGTTACCTTATTGTTGGCCGGATGGCTGATAGAATTACTTACACATTGTTATACAGTGAGATATCACAGAATAATTGTATTAGTACGTTGTGTGTTGCATAAATGTGTGGACGTTTATACTTAATAATTTGAGTGGTTTTAATAACAGTGTCCAGGATGCCAAAAGTTCAAAGTGAAAGTGCCAAGTTACGTCTAATCAAACTAATATTTAATGCAATAATATGAACTAATAGTAATAAGTAATAATAATAAATAATAATAAAAATTTGTTTTTGCATGTTTTGGTAAATATAATGCATATTTTGTCATTAGTAATGACTATACTACCTATATAAAAGTTGAATAACTCACGTTTTATTTCCTACACCTTTCCATATAATATAATCAGATGATTTAAAATGATCAGAAGAAATAACACAGTTCTTGTTTAAAAATCTAGAACCTTTAGATTTAAAAACTTCCATAATTTTTGAGATTCCACACCACTCGGCCCATTTTTTACACCTAATATATTAATTGATACAKAAATCRTAAAATGCAATTTAAAAATATATTTCCAAAAATAATATCAAACTATTTAATCTACAATTATTATTTATTTTTATTTAGAAGCATATGGYTCTGTAGATAATTATTTTAGGAAACTTACAATTCTTCATTAGATGGAAATTTATGAAAAGCTAAATTAGGATTTAATTGTATTGTAACAATAGTTTGTTGAACATGACTTGTTAGAACACATTTTTATTTTTCCTAAGTTTTTATATTATACAAATCAATTAATATTGATCTTTATACGAAAAAATAGTCATTTTTGTTTACAGCCACTTAACATTTTAGCGTTATTTTGTTATATGAATTATGCCTTTGATATAGGCAAAAACAGTACAACTGAGAGCTCCGTATGTCACTGCTGATTACCATTGACCTTCTCGTATTATCATTTATAGTATTTGTTTTTATGCAGAGCATCAGTTGTTAAAATAATTTTATAAATAATTAAAAAAAAAATACAATTAGAGAGTGTCATTATTGGACGACTTCTCACATCAAGTATAGCCTGTTAATATTTAATTAGTTTAATCGTGTATATAATTATTAAAATTAATTGTATGTATACTCTAACCACATAAGCCTATTGTGTCCCAAAGGTATAGATTGCTTCTTTCAAATAAAGAAAAAAATATATTAATATACTTTTCCTGCTTGAGTTAGGTACCTAATCTATAGAATATCTAGTTATTGTATATATTTTATACTTATCCTGCTCATTTTTGGCATTYTATAGAATACCTAAGATTTCTATATAATACCAGATTCAACACTTTGCTGGTAACATATACGAGTACATACAGTTACTAAACTACTAAAGTATATCAAATMAGTTGTTAACATTGAGTATCTATAAATTTTAGGTATTTAAATTWAAATTAAAAGAYTATTGTAATCAGAGTTGTAATATGACATTACCTACACTTGAGTACTTAGCAAGTCAAAACTCATGATCATATATTATTCAGATTGTTAACAATAATAATAGATTACTTTAGAGGCATTTTTTATCCTTAAAAATGTAAATATTTTAATTCTTATCTCTTAGCCCGACAAGCCACCAAAACTTCCCACCTCCTATAGACCAATAAGCCTCCTTCCTACCTTCTCAAAAATGTTTGAAAAAATACTTCTGAAAAGACTTCTCCCACTGTCAGACAAAGCTAACATCATTCCACATCACCAATTTGGGTTCAGGGCAAAACATTCAACCACCCACCAACTCCTTTGTACGGTCGACTTAATATCTACTAGTATGGAATCCAAGCACTACTGTGCTGCCGTCCTGCTAGACATGGCCCAAGCCTTCGACAGAGTGTGGCACGACGGCCTACTCTATTAACTTAAAAAATTTCTTACTGCTCCATATTACCTTATTATCAAGTCTTATCTTGAAAATCAAACCTTCTCAGTTAGAGTGAACAACAGCTCCTCGGTTAGCTTTCCTATTTTGGCTGGCGTCCCCCAAGGAAGCGACATAGCGCCTTTCCTTTACACCATATTTGCACATGACACTCCGAAAACTTTACATACATCATTAGGCACATACGCCGATGATACAATAATCCTGGCCTCAAATGATCACCCTCAAATTGTGTCTGATAGGTTACAAAATCATCTAAACATGATTCAGATCTGGTCAAAAAAATGGAAAATAAAAATAAATGACTCCAAATCCTCCTTTATTACCTTTTCACTAAGACCTGGAGACTGCCCTCCAGTTTCATTCAATAATAACTTAATCCCAACAACCCCAGTAGTCAAATACCTGGGCCTAACGTTTGAYAAACGACTCACCTGGGCTCAACACCTCAAAAACAAAAGGAAATCTGTAAACTCTAGACTTCACTTGCTCCGTCCACTTCTCCGCTCCAAACTAAACACCAGCAATAAATTGCTAATCTACAAAGCTATCTTAAGACCAGTATGGGCTACGGCATCCAGATATGGGGCTCCGCAAAACCCTCAAACCTGCGAACTATACAAGCCTTCCAATCAATATGTCTCCGTCAAATCGTTTCTGCCCCTTGGTATATAAAAAACGCCAATCTTCACAAAGACTTAAACGTTCCCACTCTTTTTCAGCTTACCAAATCCCACTTCCTCTCATTCCATTATAAGCTAAACCACCATACTAACCCATTAATTAAACGTCTGTCTTCTTGTACAATTCCCAATAATCCTAGAAGACTGAAACGTTCTTGGCCTAGAGATTTCCTAGCTTGATCTGTCGGGTGGTACTACTGAGTACCCTCCCTCTCTGTTATATCAACGGTATTCTCCATCAAAAAAATTACTTATTGTATAAAATGTTTGTATAGATTGTAATTATTCTTTTAATAAAAAAAAAAAAAAATGTAAATATCTATAATTTATATACTATACATCTACCTTTTGGAGCCCAAGTACCTACACAAAAGTATATTTTGTAAATAAAAGATTGATCTAATTGAAACTATTGAAGAGTATTTGCCTACTTACCTATTTTTGTCGATATTTACTTTATTTAAACATTTTATTTATAAGTATAGACTATAGATTATATAAAAGAATTGGAAAATTCCATAATTTTTTATTATCTGATTTTACTGATAATGGTTGATTTTAATCTAATCTATCTGACATTTTTGTTGTATAACACATTTGCATTTATTTATAAATAATTATTTTTATTTATACATTATTATTCTTATTAACTCCATATTATTCTAATCAGGTTTTATGATTGGTTTTATTTACAGGCTGGAGAAATTATGTGAAAGTTGGTGTTATTGACTGTTCAAATGAAATAAATAGTCAAATATGCCGGGATTATGAAGTCATGGCCTATCCAACCGTACGCTACTTTCCTCCCCGGCCAGAACCAAGTAATATTGGAAAAGATTTTATTAGATCTTTTAATATACAAATTATGAAGGATTTTCTTATTAAAATGCTTCAAGAAACTCAAAATAGCACAAATGTATTAAATTTGTGCGATATACAACCATTTGAAAATGCAAATGTAGAATTGGATTCAAATAATATTTTAACATTTATTATAATTAGTACACCAAATAATACACTTGCTCAGGAACTTATTATTGATTTCTGTCCCATCAAAAAAGTTAAAATAATAAGCGCACTGAACTCTAATACAGCATTGGTCAAATTATTAAAAGCAGAAACATATCCAAGTATCTATCTTGTTGAAAACAAGAACCAATTCACATTTTTAGCAAGTGGTAATAACAAAACAAATTTTACCAACAGCATTAATACATATTTAGAAACAGTGCATATGACTTCATTTAGTATAATTGATATTACTACTTCGCTCTATAATTTATCATTCCATAAAGACAAAGGTTCTATGCATAATAACACAGTTTATTTGTCAGATTTAGAAGCTACTCTGAGGTATTCTTTGGAGCACGAGATTTTATCACGAAGTGTTATTTCTGGTGAGTCATTAGATGCATTAAATAGTTATCTAGAACTTCTTATTGAATGTTTTCCTTCTAGCATTAGAGGTAAAAAATTCATTAAGTTAATATGGGAAAATACACGATTCAATAAGACAGTGTCAGGAGAGAAGCTTGGGAATCTTATTAACAACTATGAGTTTTTATTAAAACCTTATGTTACTAAACACAGTTGGATTGGATGTGTAGGTAGTCTACCAATGTATAGGAAATATCCATGTGGCTTATGGACTATGTTTCACACACTCTCAGTACAAGCATCTATAAAGAACTTGACAACATTTAATGGAAAACAAATTTTAGAAACTATTGCTGGTTATGTTAAACATTTCTTTGGATGTACAGAGTGTTCTGAACATTTCATGAATATGGCTTCCACAATTAAAAGTAATGTTTCGTCGTTAGATGATGCAGTGCTGTGGCTTTGGTCGGCTCATAATCAAGTGAACCAAAGGCTTATGGGTGATGTTACTGAAGATCCAGTGCATCCAAAAATATTATTTCCATTAAAAGTACATTGTGATACATGTCACCAAAATGGTACTGATGAGTGGAATAAAACTGAAGTGCTAAAATATTTGAAATATATGTATTCAGCTTTCAGCCTCCAAAAGACATCATATCTTGATATTCATTCTCAAAATGATAATTTGATAATCTTAAGTAAAAGATCCGTTGATGTTGATAGTTATAATTATAATAGTTATGCATTTGATCAAGAAGAGTGGAAGATTGATGTTAGCACTTGTATGATATCATATATTTTGTCATGTAGTGTGTTAATGATATTATTTTATTTACTGTTGATAAAGAAAAGGTGTAAAAAAAATAATTATATTTATATTTTACTGGGTAAATAGATTG